CACTGTCCCTACACTAGGCAAACAGCCACCTGATATGGGTGAAACAGAGTTATAAATCACCTGGATGCACCCTGATGATCACAGTTTTCACATACAGTCAAGTACCCTTTAATTTGTTCGTGTAACCGTTTAGATTCAGGGTGTCTCCCTATATCAAGAATCCAGTCTAGCTTACCCTGGACCTTAAATAACCACTTCTGTGCATTACATTGAACTTTAACGACACTGCTTATCATCTTCCATTTACTTATCTGATAGTGTGCTGAAGTTGAAACAACAGCAAACCATTTGTATTCAAATCTATACTCCATCCATTACAACCATGAAACATTGTTTTTCCTTTCGATTGAGTACATATATACAGGTTTGATATAAAAAGTCGCCTTGGTGCTAGAATACTAAAATCATTACTAAATCAAAAACTTGCAGGCTTTATTATAGTAGGAAGAAACACCTGCAACTTGTAAAAATTATTGACAAACGTACAGCACATTTATTTGCTAGTACTTACCAAAACAGAATACTAAAACTATTTAAAAAATTAAGCAAATTACATAATCTTTAAAATGTCAATGTGGCAGAGGGATTCTTACAGAAAATTGTTCAATGCATTTTGTACATTGTTTATTGCTGCATTTTGTATGTTTTTTATTGCTATATCTTTAAGTACTTTAAATTTAAATGATGTTCTTGTATGTTTTGCCTGCACAACAACCTCCATTGCCAAGTTGCAGTAGTAAAACAGCTTTTCCATTAGATGGATTCCACAACTATTGGGGACTGATCAATGCTTTATACCCTTCCAAATTAAATATGCATGAAATGACAAAAGTACATAAGAGCTTTCATTCTTGTGGACGTTTGTGCTTCTTAGACACACAAAATGTCGTCATTAATCCAAAGGCCATTAATCCATGAAACATTAACTCGCCACCCCCCCCTCAACAATTTTCTTGACCTAATTATAACCCCTCTATTCAAGCAACAAAACATACTTGATCCAAAGTAATCAAAAAACATTATGGAGATAAGTATCGTATAAATGCAATTTTTTGACAGAACATAAAGCAGTATGGCTCAGTATTTTGAAAGAAAACACCTGAGATTATAGCATATTCTCAAACACACAAAACAATAAAAGACCTCTAGGCATCGATAATATATGTAGCATAGCTTTAAAGGCACTTATGAATATGATATGAACTCCTAAATGGGACTTTTACGTACATGTTTTATGGGGTAAGACCACTATGGATTAAACTTAAAACTTAATGTTATAGCAATGTGTTCTGTATGATATGCTATATTTCAAAGAAAATGTCTTTTAGTGCTGTGCTCCTTTTGTTATGGATAAAATATACCATTTAGGTATTCTTACATACAATTTTGAACATATCAAAGACAAAACATTTCAAAATAAGAAAAAAAATGCAAGCAAAATATGTAATATTTGGCTTCGTTCACATGGAAAGTCTATTTTCTATATAATTACGCCGTGGGATATTCAGGGCACAGACCGTGATCACAAGATATACCGTGAATAGAAAATAGATTTTTAGAAAATAGACTTTCCATGTGAATGAAGCCTTTGTCTCAAGCTGTTGTCTTTTCTCAAAATAATTCAAAATATAAATACTTTAACCAAAACTAAATCACCTGTTAGATGATGCCCAAAAAATGTCAAGCTAATGTGAACCTGGGGTCAGCAGAAAAAAATAAAACCGTTACCTGCTGCATTTTTTCAAAGTCTAAACTTGGCCGCCTTTGTATCACAGACTCTTTGGAATCACAGTACTCGGAGGTGTTAGAAGAGGTGTAGCGGTGGCGCTTCCTTGGAGAGGTATACAGCTGTACTGGTGTCATGTTGGCTAAGAAGAGTTTTGGAGGCGGCGAGCGAGTCAATCGCGTCACACCCTTCGGAGGGGAAGAGCTGAAGATCAGGGGCTGTGGCTTGGAGAAAAGATCCTTCACTTCATCATCTGAAGACCCTGAGCTGTCGCCAAAGCTGTGCCTGCGCACTTGGGACCATTTCCTTTTAGAATGCGACTCCCGATTGTTTATTACAGACAGTTCTTCTTCCGAGCTATTGTGCTCAAATTCTGATGAACTAGACAGGCTATGTGGAGTGTGATTGGTCATCCTTCGTTCACAGTTACTGGATAGAGGGGATTGAGTGAGCTCCCTGGCTGGGAGATGTGAAGAAGTGAAGCTGAACTGGAACGGATGAGGCCCTACCCTTCCATTGCCAAAGATAGAGCTGCTGCTTGAAAGAAGGCTGTTTTCCATATCTGAAAGACATTTACCATTGTCTTAGATCACTTTTTATTCTGTCAACTTTATTTAAATATTTTTTCTTGTCAACATGCCACCTGCCGATTTTACTGATAATCAGAAATGCACAAGACTGAAATATTTTCTTGCATGCACACTGTTGAAAGCCTAAACCTAACCCACACAATTTCCCTCATGAATACGTCAGCCTGACCATTAGTGAACCAATATGCCTCATTATTCTATACTGAAAATTGGATGTGTGCTGGTTCAAAAAAAAGCACGGGGATATCTTAAGCATGAAATACAAAAGTTCTAATAATAATAATAGTATAATAACAACAACAAGATCCTTCAAGACATATCTTCCACCTGAAGGGATAGCATGTTAACAAGGAGGAATACCAACAAACCACACAGTGGTAGTTACGTGCCACATGATGATATAGCAAAACAAAGGCCAGCAAACAATGACAAACTGGTCTCTCAATCTACTAAGTCAATTCCTCACACACTTTGACCTATTAAATCACCTGCACATGCATGTGCTATTGTAGAAAGCATATGGTAACAATGAGAAGGCATAGATGCACAAGAAGTGCTTTACTTACTTTGTGCTATTTCTTCCAGCTCGTTAATTTCTGTATCTGATTCAGTCCCAGAATCATGATCATCTTCGTCCTGCAATATGTACTTTAAATTAACCCTTATCTTTATTTCCATCAAATTAAGTCAACTAACCCTTGTAGTTCAAACTTACTCATAAACCAAACTTAATCCAATCTACATGTATATCTCTTTTTCTGCGTACATAATTTAATATTTTCACACCAAATTCATCCTTTTTGATTGACTCAATTCTAATTATAAATTTCCCTACTACTGTATTGATAGCNTATATAGTGTTTTCAGACATAGTGGGTGCTAAAGGTTCTCAAAAACATCATAATAAAATTCAAATATAATGAAAGGGGGGCAATTTCAACCAAGCTTGCCTTGCTCTCTGTTTTTCACATCCATAATTCAAACACTCAAAGCCTGAGCAACCCACACTCTGGACTCAAATGGCAAGATTTCTAAGGATCTGCATCGCCTGAATGTGGCATTGTTTAGAATAGAGTTCCCTAGCTCAATACCCTTTCACTGTCCCTACACTAGGCAAACAGCCACCTGATATGGGTGAAACAGAGTTATAAATCACCTGGATGCACCCTGATGATCACAGTTTTCACATACAGTCAAGTACCCTTTAATTTGTTCGTGTAACCGTTTAGATTCAGGGTGTCTCCCTATATCAAGAATCCAGTCTAGCTTACCCTGGACCTTAAATAACCACTTCTGTGCATTACATTGAACTTTAACGACACTGCTTATCATCTTCCATTTACTAATCTGATAGTGTGCTGAAGTTGAAACAACAGCAAACCATTTGTATTCAAATCTATACTCCATCCATTACAACCATCAAACATTGTTTTTCCTTTCGATTGAGTACATATATACAGGTTTGATATAAAAAGTCGCCTTGGTGCTAGAATACTAAAATCATTACTAAATCAAAAACTTGCAGGCTTTATTATAGTAGGTAGAAACACCTGCAACTTGTAAAAATTTTTGACAAACGTACAGCACATTTATTTGCTTACCAAAACAGAACACTAAAACTATTTAAAAAATTAAGCAAATTACATAATCTTTAAAATGTCAATGTGGAAGAGGGATGTTTCTTACAGAAAATTGTTCAATGCATTTTGTACATTGTTTATTGCTGCATTTTGTATGTATTTTATTGCTATATCTTTAAGTACTTTAAATTTAAATGATGTTCTTGTATGTTTTGCCTGCACAACAACCTCCATTGCCAAGATGCAGTAGTAAAACAGCTTTTCCATTAGATGGATTCCACAACTATTGGGGACTGATCAATGCTTTATACCCTTCCAAATTAAATATGCATGAAATGACAAAAGTACATAAGAGCTTTCATTCTTGTGGGCGTTTGTGCTTCTTAGACACACAAAATGTCGTCATTAATCCAAAGACCATTAATCCACGAAACATTAACTCGACACCCCCCCCCTCAACAATTTACTTGACCTAAAAATAACCCCTCTATTCAAGCAACAAAACATACTTGGTCCAAAGTAATCAAAAAACATTATGGAGATAAGTATCGTATAAATGCAAATTTTTGACAGAACATAAAGCAGTATGGCTCAGTATTTTGAAAGAAAACACCTGAGATTATAGCATATTCTCAAACACACAAAACAATAAAAGACCTCTAGGCATCGATAATATGTAGCGTAGCTTTAAAGGCACTTATGAATATGATATGAACTCCTAAATGGGACTTTTACGTACATGTTTTATGGGGTAAGACCACTATGGATTAAACTTAAAACTTAATGTGATAGCAATGTGTTCTGTATGATATGCTATATTTCAAATAAAATGTCTTTTAGTGCTGTGCTCCTTTTGTTATGGATAAAATGTACCATTTAGGTATTCTTACATACAATTTTGAACATATCAAAGACACAAAACATTTCAAAATAAGAAAAAAAATGCAAGCAAAATATGTTATATTTGTCTCAAGCTGTTGTCTTTTCTCAAAATAATTCAAAATATAAATACTATAACCAAAACTAAATCAAATGTTAGACGATGCCCAAAAAATGTCAAGCTAATGTGAACCTGGGTTCAGCCGAAAAAAATGAAACCGTTACCTGCTGCATTTTTTCAAAGTCTAAACTTGGCCGCCTTTGTATCACAGACTCTTTGGAATCACAGTACTCGGAGGTGTTAGAGGAGGTGTAGCGGTGGCGCTTCCTTGGAGAGGTATACAGCTGTACTGGTGTCATGTTGGCTAAGAAGAGTTTTGGAGGCGGCGAGCGAGTCAATCGCGTCACACCCTTCGGAGGGGAAGAGCTGAAGATCAGGGGCTGTGGCTTGGAGAAAAGATCCTTCACTTCATCATCTGAAGACCCTGAGCTGTCGCCAAAGCTGTGCCTGCGCACTTGGGACCATTTCCTTTTAGAATGCGACTCCCGATTGTTTATTACAGACAGTTCTTCTTCCGAGCTATTGTGCTCAAATTCTGATGAACTAGACAGGCTATGTGGAGTGTGATTGGTCATCCTTCGTTCACAGTTACTGGATAGAGGGGATTGAGTGAGCTCCCTGGCTGGGAGATGTGAAGAAGTGAAGCTGAACTGGAACGGATGAGGCCCTACCCTTCCATTGCCAAAGATAGAGCTGCTGCTTGAAAGAAGGCTGTTTTCCATATCTGAAAGACATTTACCATTGTCTTAGCTCACTTTTTATTCTGTCAACTTTATTTAAATATTTTTTCTTGTCAACATGCCACCTGCCGATTTTACTGATAATCAGAAATGCACAAGATTGAAATATTTTCTTGCATGCACACTGTTGAAAGCCTAAACCTAACCCACACAATTTCCCTCATGAATACGTCAGCCTGACCATTAGTGAACCAATATGCCTCATTATTCTATACTGAAAATTGGATGTGTGCTGGTTCAAAAAAAAAAAAGCACGGGGATATCTTAAGCATGATTTACAAAAGTTCTAATAATAATAATAATAATAGTATAATAACAACAACAAGATCCTTCAAGACATATCTTCCACCTGAAGGGATAGCATGTTAACAAGGAGGAATACCAACAAACCACACAGTGGTAGTTACGTGCCACATGATGATATAGCAAAACAAAGGCCAGCAAACAATGACAAACTGGTCTCTCAATCTACTAAGTCAATTCCTCACACACTTTGACCTATTAGATCACCTGCACATGCATGTGCTATTGTAGAAAGCATATGGTAACAATGAGAAGGCATAGATGCACAAGAAGTGCTTTACTTACTTTGTGCTATTTCTTCCAGCTCGTTAATTTCTGTATCTGATTCAGTCCCAGAATCATGATCATCTTCATCCTGCAATATGTACTTTAAATTAACCCTTATCTTTATTTCCATCAAATTAAGTCAACTAACCCTTGTAGTTCAAACTTACTCATTAACTAAACTTAATCCAATCTACATGTATATCTTTTTTTCTGCGTACATAATTTAATATTTTCACACCAAATTCATCCTTTTTGATTGACTCAATTCTAATTATAAATTTCCCTACTACTGTATTGATAGCCAAATGCATGGTAGCAATCATGACATTGATTTCAACATTTCCGTAGTGCAATATGGTAGATCCATAGTTGATGACATACCGTATCACACAAAAGGCACATGCACAAGGGCAAACCAATCTCTAAAGCAATCAAAACTGCTCCCAAATTTCTTACCCTTTAGTTTAATGAAATGGCAGTCAGACCCGTTTTATATCATACTAACGTTAAGTATATCAGCACACGTAACTACCGCAAAACGAAGAAAAAAATTTGCAACATTACTCGATCGTTAGTATACATTGACATCTTATATAATGTTTGCCTTGTACTTTAATATAACGTATTCAGCGCTGACGATTTAAGTACACCAGTGGAAACATAACAACACAACACTTATCAGTACTAACATGTACGATATGGGCAATGTTCCAAGTATATCAGTAAAACGCATACCGGCCGGTCGCTGACGCTTAGTTAAACAAAAATTCATGAAAAACACGTCAACTTGTCTTACCTGAGGCTGGAATGGCTGGACTTCGTTTAGAGATTGAGATCTTAGTTTTTGAGTTAGTAACCTGAGCATTTCCATCCCTGTTTTCCCGACTTTGGATGGGAGAAAACCTCACACACTTCAGTTTCGAAGCGGTGTCTGCCGGCTCGACAAGCAGCCAGCGCTCAGCCGTAATAACCTGAGAAAATGAAAAGCAATATTCTTGCAATGTGATCCAAAGATTCACTATACATGATACTAATGTCTAGCCAATTATTTTAAAAATCGAAAGTGTTTAAAGAGACAAAGAAGCACCTTAGGTTAGTACATAGCACACACGTCCTTTTTCAGTTGCATCGAATGCCGGAGTGAAGGTGTGTGTAGAGTTGACCTAGTTACAGAAATGGACTCTTCCAATAGGGAAACTAGGTCAACTTTACGAAACATTTCTTTTTTAATCTGATAGTCTAACTTGAATATGTGGGTTTATGACAACTTGACGCATGTAATAAGTTATTGCTTCACTAAAAAGCAAATTATTTACATTAACTTGTGATTTTACAATTCCATATCATTACTCCGTTTCCCTAAGCATATTTTCTCCCAAGATGTAAACCGCAAAAGTGGCATGTGGTCTCCGATTGGTCGGAGAGATTGACCTCAATGGAAGTGCAGTTGGCAGGTATCCAAAGTTTACTCGTATATATATCGTGATACATCATAATAAGCCGGGAGCAAAATGAAAGATGTTTATAAATCGACAGATGAATAAACATCGGATTGAAAGAGGAAAACAAAGGGAATATCGTTTAAATGACGTTTCGCTTCATAAATGTTATATGGTAGATCTTACAAGTTCCTTGCTTGTAATGGGAAAAAATGTGTTAAAGACCTCTATCGCAATTAGTATTTCTTCGCTGCAATCAGTATTTTTTTGGTCAGTACATTCCATCAACTTCACGGTTTGCGGTTAACCCATGGTTTGACATATAATTACATAGATTGGACCATTCTCTCTGGCTGTACGAATAAAGTACTAGTAAGAAATTTCTGACGAGACAGTGGTTTAGGATGAATATTTTAATCCCCTCCCCTTCACTCCCTTTTTGATGAGTACCAAGCTGGGAATAGGGAAATTAAAATTAAAGAACTTGTGGGTACTTCGGACGGGCTACAAACCAACATTCTCTCAGTTTGGAGGTGGGCACTAACCGCAAAGCCATTCAGTTTTATAATTATTTGTCAGTAAGATCAATATAATGAATATTTTACAGCTATTCATTTGTATCCAGAGCATCTAAATTGTTCACTCGCTCCATAAATCCATATCCAAACTGTGTCGCATGTGCATGACACAATTATTGAGGTTAACAGATTTGATTTCATATATAATTATATAATGGTCAATATAAATTTAGCTTAAATCATATTTTAAGTGCATCCTCTCTAGCTTTTAGTGTATAAAAATTATGTGATTTACACATTTTCTTGATGTCTCTAATACCAATAATTTCTCTTCTAAGTCACCAACTAAAAAACACCCTATGATTATATGATTTTCAACCGCAAATTTCAATGAAATGTTACAAGCCTATATACATGCCTTTTCAATTGGCGTGAGTATGCAACTTTTGTTGGGTTATAGCCTATAAATACTATTCTTGCAGGGTATACATCATGGGGCCAAAGAAAAAAGTTCTTAAAAAAAAGAGTTTAAAACAAAGACATCCCTACAAATGGTATATTAAATACCATTGATGGAGGGGGGGGGGGAGGTATACGAAATGATACCCAGACACCCAAACTTTCCTCAGAGTGTAGCAACAGTGGTTTAATTAGGACTTTGGGTGGGCTGAATGGATTTAAAAAGCCAACTCAGAAATGTGTTTGCATAGTCCTTTGAGTGATTGATAGTGAGAAAATGAAGTTTTCCCTTTCAGGGAAAAATAAAATAGAGCAGAAAATAATGATGCCACTACACTATTTTTTGACAGTTTTGATGCAATACTACATAATGCTTAAAAGCATAATCACCATCAAATTTTAATTACATACTACAGGTAATATAGACATTGAAGATATGTAACTATAGTTCAGGCCACAGGATTTCAAAGTAACACATTGAAAATGCCAATTTGTGAAAAAAAAGAAAAACTCACAAATAACAGTATAACTTAATTCGAGAAAATGGTCCAATAAAGCTGCTATTGAAACTTGAACTATATTTTTCTGCCATAAATTACTCCAGTAAGTTCGAGGATAATAAGTCACATATGGTTTTCCACCATGCCTGTACACAATAAGCTGTGATTAAAATCTGTTTTAACGATATTTTACATATTTCAATCAGCAGACTATATGTGCCTTCATAGGGACTGGTTTAAAAATCTTAAAATCATGACAACAATATATGGCATAAAAAAAGAAAATGTGTTTCATAATAAGTGCCTGATTTTATGCAATGTTCAACTAAGACATTTAAAAAACTTTTTAAAAAAAAATAATAAGTTTCAGAATAAGTGCCTGATTTTATGCAATGTTCAACTAAGACTTTTAAAAAACTTGCCAGAATTATGACAAATAGTATTAGGAAATGCTGCCGTCGGCAAAAGGGTGACAAGAAATGTAGCCACGATGAAAGTGGTTACATTTTCCTCCTGCCAAAAACCCACAGCTGGTAAAGCAACTTAGACAGTAATCACTTGATCTTTTCAATGGGCATAAAATAAGCAAACTTTCAGATACATAATTTTATAATCACAAATTAAATTTATATACAGCATTTGTGGTGCTTTTGCTGCAAAGAATAGAATTACAGAGTAGCCTGTTTTTAAATTAATTGATGCTATCACTCAATAAAAATGTTCTAATTCAAAGAAATTACTTAAAAATACAATATCTGTAAAATTCACAATTTCCCCCATTGAAAAGATCTAGTAATTAACGTATTCTTCTTCTAACAAAATGCCCATGTAGTCATATCTCATAATAATAATAATAATAAGAAGAAGAAGAGTGAAAAAATTAAAGAAATTGGCATGAGTCTAAGCATTGGTAACTTAGTGGGCACTGGATAATCAGATTAATTTTTGTTTAGGATTTTAAACAGATATGAACATGCTTAAGCAGAGGATCAATTTATTTTCCATTGAAGACTGCCTTAATATATGTATTCATCCTTTCTTTGCTGGATCAGGGGACTCCAGTCAGCAAACCCCTTAACCCCCCCCCCTCCATGCTATGGGCCTGAAGTATTATTAACTTAAATTGAATTAAATTTAATAGAAAATGTGAACAAACAAACCAAGAGATATCAATCTCTTTTTACCTGTATTTGCAAAAGCACATACATGTACATCAGGAGCAACTGAAACAAAGGCCAAGTACAACAGAACAAACCAATTACAGATAATGTATTTTTTGTGTGAAAAATGAAAACTAAGCTTAATAACATCAGCATTAGCCTAAATATATAGTGACACCAATGATGAAAATCAATAACAGATTCATTTGACAACTCACATCAAAGTGCAATCCTATTCTAAAACATAAATCATTACAGCCAGGTTCACTCCGTAAGTTCAGTTGTAAGAATTTCTCGTAAGTTCAGTTGTAAGGATTCCTGAATTTTGTGTAAAATTTTGGTTATTCCTGATGTGTGTGTGTGTGTGTGTGTGTGTGTGTGTGTGTGTGTCAGGATACAAATATAAAAAAAGTATATTTGCATAAGTACTGGTATATGATTGTTTACATGAAACTCAGTGAATCCTGCATGTCCAGAATTGGTTATTGTGTCAATGCAGTCAGTAGCTGTTCTGTGCCAAATGGCATATTGCCAGCATTCACTCCTAATATATCATTTATTATAACAAGAATTGGTTGACGTCTGTGTCTGTAAATCCATATATATATATACAGCTGCATCAGCATACATTATTGAATGCTTCACTGCATAAAATGCTTTGGATAAAGTGAACTTTCCACTCCCAGGGCCTCACAGGACTTGTGATGATTGTCAAGGGCATGAGATATCTGGGCTTTTTACTCCTTTTTTTTTTATTAAAGGGAATAAAATGTGGAATAATCACTTCTGTCAAAAGTATTCATTTTAGACCATGTTTATAAGTCATAAGGGTGCCTTTAGAAAAAAAAAATTTTTTTTTCAAATTTAAATATATGTAATTAAATTGAATGGAAACCTGGCAAGGTGCACAAAGCACAAAAATTATGTTTATTTACTAGAATCCATAGCATGTTGCCTCCTGTAGTTGGAAGAAGAAAAAGGCACAACCACATTACAATTCAGGATATTAAATAATTAATTCGGTGAATAGATAAAACCCTGCAAGGAACAGAGCAAATTAAAAAACATACACAGACCTCCCCTTCAAATAATCCTGGAAATGCCCCTGCCTATTGCCCTGACATTGCAAAGGACCTGATGTACTTGGCCTGAAAAGAACGAATGATGGCCCTTCTAGAACAACATTGAGGGCAACAGGAATAACAACTCTGCCCTTTCAATTTCCTGTTTCAGGACTAAGCATTTCCCTGCATTTTATGCCACATTTGCATTTTACTGGTATAAATAGGTATGAATGACAATCTTATCATCACCAAAAATGTTTGGTAACATACCAGAAACCTCCTTAGAAAAAAAATGCAAGTGATATAATCAAATTTGCCACCTGTTCAGTGTTAACAGAAATACTTACACACAAATAGACAGACAGATACTTTCAAAAATGATAGATTTTCAAAAGTAACTACCATATTAAATAATGATTTATTAAATAATCTAAAAATATCTATTCAAACTCTTACAACATCTCAAGATCATGCCTATGTGAAATGCCAAGTTGTTTTTCAAAAATGAATATCAATCTTTGACTATTGACATTTCTATCATACACATATCCTTCTTATTAGTTAGAGACATTAAGCAAGCAATGCACAGGACGGAAGACATTATTCATCAATAATTCAGTTCACATATGAGATTACTAGAAAGTACCCATCCAAAGGACACATAGGGCTCTGAGATAGTTTGGGAAATTAATTGGTAGAACACACCATTTCAAAGGGTAAAGCACACATGTTGTAGAAAAATGCAATGGTTTTTACAGTATTTAAAGAAACAGTGCCTTGAATTTTACATATACAACGCTTCCTTGTACACAACATTATATAATATACAAAAGTAAAAAGCAATATGTAATAATCGAATTAGATCTAATTAATTTTTAATCAATCAAATCGAAAAATAAATTTAAATAATGCCATAACAAAACTTGGATTCATATGTTGTTATTAACAGTGCTAGTCGCATTACATGTATAATGCAAAGAGCAAGAGAGAGAGCTAGAGAGAAAGAGATGCCCGCAAAAATTTCTAATAAATTGGCTTGCATTTTTGGCCATACAAAAAATTTTAAATAAGACATAATTATGTTTTTGCAGTAATGGTGGGAGTTACACAAAGACAAAATATCACAGTGCAAAATGTTTTGAAAAAATATTTTGAATACAAAGTATTTATAAAGTTAACATGATGAATTTCATATAAAACATATGCATGCTCTTCCTTTTGCTCAAGAAGATTTTCTTTGCAATCTACATTTTAAAGTTTCCTTTTATTCTAATTAGAGTTCTTTTATAATAAAAAAGTTATCTTAAGTACTTATCTTAAATATTAAACTACCAAAAATTTGACATTAAAAGAAAACCAAATCAAAAGGGTGTTCAATAATAATATTAACTAAAATAATATCAGTATCTAAAATAATTTATATTTGTTTGCATATAATTTTAAAAAAATATTGATGAGAAATTTTGATTTTAAAACAAATGAGAAAACAGCAGATATGTAGCTGGTACCTTATCTTTGGTAGGGATGAAGATTGCCAGTTTTGAAAAAGCTCACCCAATAAAATACCAGTAAGACAAATAAATTAAATTTGATATTGCTTGCCTTAAATTCATCATACGCTGAAAGTGTTAATTAACTGCTCCAATACAATATAATATATCACAACAAAAATAAATGTCATGGTATACAAAGTAAAAAATTCATGTACAAATATGTGTAAAATTTCAAAGTAAATACAAAATTTAAATGATTATATACTATAAACTGATTTCACTTCCTGGTTTTTTGCTGTAATTGTTAAACAAAGCTTAAAAGCTGCTCTCCCAGTTTATTTCTAGAATAAAATGACAAATAGTTTCCAAAAAAATACCTTGTTAGCACGCTACTACTCATGCTCACTGGTTTAAAATGGCAAAGAAACAGCTTCTGCCATTTTCATGCCTAGCTGACACTGGATATCAGGCAGAAGCAAGAAAAATGACTCTGCATTAGACCAAATCTGGTCCATCTCTATATTTTCCAACGTCACTTTTGCCATTATTGTTATTATTGCTATCATTATCTGCCATCACCTCAGGTTTCACTTCTGACTGCCACCTGCTGATGAGGGACCATATTTCTTCTTGCATTTCTAGCTGTGAAGATTCCTGGAGATTGAGAAAGTGCAATAGAGATAACGAGTTTAAATAAATAAAATCATTATTAAAGAGCTCACAGTCTGAATGAAATTAAAACACTTGTTAAAAATAAAACAGAAAAGTCTAAAGTTATCTGTTAACAAAAAAGAAAGACAGAAAAAATTATTTGAAGCTAAGGTCACACAGTGCAAAAAAAAAAAAGACACCAAAACAGTTTGATAGAAATGTATAAAAAAGTAAAGAGTAAAGACTAACTCAGTGAAGAGGAAGATAATCAAAATGTGCATTATGACAATCTGAAAAAAAAACACTTATAGACAGTGATATTATTCTGTTAAAACCACTTGTTTCACTACACCAGGCATACAAACAAATGACACAAGGCCACCCAAAGGTAACCTACTGCACCTTGAAATTTGAAATCCCACAATGACTTGGGTAGTTTCAATTAGTTTTTTTAAATTTAAGTCAGCTATTTTAATGCACCCTCATTAATAAGTCAATAGTCCTCCTCTCTGTGTGATAGCCTTAGATCCCATTCCCAGAGATTAGATCGATCCAACTTAGATCGACCTAACTCCCTGGGGGTTCACGCTAAATAGCTGTTAGTCGAGCGGGCACGAGAGTTAATTACCCCCTTACAGCTTGTATTAGGTGGGACGGACATTTAAGCCAGATTATCTGACAGTATTCTAGTGAGACTCCCCACGGGGATAGATCAATCTAAAATCTGTGGGAATGCGCCCTTAGAGAAGTCTGATGACAAGTTAAAGGTTGTAATTCTACTAGTATATTATAAAATGATACTTATTAATGGTATTTAATACAAAGCATTTGCATAGCAAAAATAAATAAATAAATAAATAAATAAATAAATAAATAAATAAATAAATACAGATTTGAAAAAATCACTAGATTTCCCTTTAATCACAAAGATATATTCAAATACCTGTCCAAAAATGACATAAAATTCATGGTCTATAAACTTGTTTTTGAGTTTTAAAATGACTCTTTTACCATGATGAGTGTACATCTCTATTACGAGAGAGACTCTAAAAACTCAGAAACAGACTGACACATCATAAATCACATGCTGCAAATATACAAATGGCATCTATGTTGGGGCTTTCAGATGTTACACAATAAGTGATTTTTGTTTAGGTCAGTATGTGGTTTACAGACCTCAGAAAAGCAACATCGACCTTGGCACAATCTCAACCTTAGTGTCCTCCAAGATAACATAATAAGTTGCAACTTGGCTGTCACTGACATTGTTCACAGGCCCACAGCCAGGGGAATTTGGAGGGTTCGAAAAAACAGCAATTTTTTCATGGGAAAAGGTCTGCTCTGGGTAAAATCTGATCTAGGTTCATGAAGGTTTCATGGTTAAAGGTCCACATTTTCCCAAAAAGAACACCCTTTTTGAAATTGTTGGCCTTGTTTATCACCTGATTGATGATATGTTTCTTTTACTCTGATTGGTCAGTCAACTAATTGATGGTATGTATCTTTAACTCTAGTTGGTCGAAAACCATGAATTTCATGGACAAACAGTGGTGGGTTTGGGGGGAGGGGGAGGGGGGTCAGTGGGGTCCAGACCCACCCTTGATTTCTGAAAAAAATCACACCAATGGTCCCCTCTTGAAATCAGAATTTTGACTAGCTGAAGCACAGTTCTAAACCATACCAAATGGCACTGTTCGTCCTCTAAAATACCAAAATTTCAAGAACACACCATGCCAAGGGGAAGGGGGGGGGGAAAGGGTCTGCTTCGCATGCAAATAATCCTGGAACTGCCCTTGCTAGCCATGGATAACATCATCAGTCAAATATCATGTCAAGTGATCATGAGCATTTCAATGGTGATAGGAAAATGTTGCTTTCATTTCCATTACATACCCTCCTTTGCCATTTCAACCCTCCGTGCACATGAACTTGAACTTCAGTGTTTTTTGTTTAAAACATGGTATACCAGCAGCTTAAAGTGGCCATTTATAAGAATTAAGAAACATTCAGTAAAATTCGCAAAAATTGCTGTCCTTAAAACAGGATAATTACCAGCATGTGTAAGAATACAGAGTTGACATTTAATATGGAATATTATTTCATAACATTTTCATTTATTTTTATCCTATTTGTCTGAATAATAATCAGTACTGACACAGCTGACTACACATTCTTCTATTCACATTTCTTGTATGTGATGTAAGTTAAAAAAAACTTTTACCTAGACAGTACTTTTAAACTGACATATTCCATATTACATTACAACTCTGTATTTTGAATTGGCTACTGGTACATGAGGGGTAATTACATCAAAAATGCTTGCCTGCTGATTGTTGAAAATTGCACAATTAAACCCTGAACCACAGGAAACTTTTTTCAGAAATGAAGCTAGAGTAAAAAAAACTTACACACTGTTTACAGAGTTTTGGTATAGTCATCCCAGTTTTCCTCAAATATAAACATTAATTGTTACATAAAAATTTATAAGAATTAAGAAACATTCAGTAATATACGCAAAAATTGCTGTCCTTGAAACAAGATAATTACCAGCATGTGTAAGAATACAGAGTTGGCATTTAATATGGAATATTATTTCATAACATTTTCATTTATTTTTATCCTATTTGTCTGAATAATAATCAGTACTGACACAGCTGACTACACATTCTTCTATTCACATTTCTTGTATGTGATGTAGGTTAAAAAAAACTTTTACCTAGACAGTACTTTTAAACTGACATATTCCATATTACATTACAACTCTGTATTTTGAAATGGCTACTGGTACATGAGGGGTAATTACATCAAAAATGCTTGCCTGCTGATTGTTGAAAATTGCACAATTATACCCTGAACCACAGGAAACTTTTTTCAGAAATGAAGCTATAGTTAATTTTTTTTTTTTTTTTTTTTTGGGGGGGGGGGGGGGGGTTGAAGTTTTGGTTTAGTCATCCCAGTTTTCCTCAAACTGTTTACCAGATTTTTATTTTTGCATGTATCTATATCTTAGGATCATACATAAACTATTTAATTTCTAGTGCATGGGACGAGGCAAGCTTCATCTGATAAAGATATCCAAAATGTTTATTAGTGTCTTTTTAAGCATTTAATATTTTTCATTGTCAGATATATATATATGCACCTGAAAAAAAAATCATCCACCTTTTAAATCTTTCAAGCCAAATTCTAAAAATACCAATCACACAGTTATGGTTCAGGCAGCATTTTGACTTTAATCCGAAACTCAGATCTACTGCTTGCTAGCTTCCTACCAACTTCAAATCTCCACATGTGCACACTTACAGGACATTGAATACCAGCAGCATATTGGCAGTAATTGCTTGAGGTTTATTGCATCAGTCACAACCATACATCTACCTAGCCAGTATCCAAATGTGGTCTCTCATTAAAAGGGCACATGAAGCAATGAAGCAATGAAGCAATAACTTAGTTATAAATTATACTGCCATTGAGAAATAACAGCTAGTATGGCAGCAAAATTATTTTTCTTTCTATGTTATTAACTTTTAGTTTCCCTGTCAATCAAGAGGAGCTGGAAATTCAGTCATGGTAACATAACTGTGACTGTGTGCCCCAAAAATAGCAATTAATGCTATAGCATATACTAAAAAAACATTCCTTAGGGGCAGTATCTTTTCTAGTTTCAAAGGAATTATCAAATGTAGCAAATGATAGTTTACTCAAAACAACCTTTAATAATTCAACATATTCCTTTTTTCACAATGGCAGTTTACTATGTGGAAAGCCCTATAGGGACGTCTGCTGACCATCTTTTGCAATCCAGACTGAGAGTGCATAACCCAGGACAGAAAATCCAAAAACATGAATCCACTCCTCATAACTTGCAATTGGTATTAGTTGATATGCCATCTGGTGGATCTTAATTTCAATGGAATTTATTATTTTGAAACTCGAGTTTTTACTTCATAGAAACATTGAGTTTAATATACAATATGAATGCAATTTTTTGATGTTTTGTGATTTTGGTATAGATTTTTAGGTAAATACATTAAGCATGGTGAAAAAAGTGAGCAAATTCCACTTAACTTTTTTTTAGATTGTATTAGTCATTTCTATGTAGCTGATGTTACATTTGGTACAGCATGCTCTTTCAACAGAAACTGTTTCCAGGATAAGCTGTCACACACGCTGCAATAAACAAACTGTTAAGAGACAGGAATATGAGATTAGTGAGGCAGGTCTATACCCTGGATGACAGCTCAATGAAGCCTACTAAATACAATTATTAGATCATTTCGATTCTGGTACATGTGCACGTGATAAGCTGAATAAAGTGAGTGAACTCTCCACATGTTCAGGTGTCAGAAGAAGGGGTGAAGGGAGGGGGGGGTAGGAGAAGCAATGCTGCTTTTGCTCATGCTACTCTCATTTGAATTTCATTTTTAAAAAATTCATCGAGTAAAACAATAGATTTGCAGATACTTCTTTAGATAAGGAGGACTTGCAGACAGTAAGCATGAACTGCATACCACACAATTAATTTATGCATATCATTATATATATATATATATATATATATATATATATATATATATATTTGGATTTTGCCAATTCAGATTATGAAGATTTTTAGAAATATTTGTCAAAAATATCAAGTGCATATTGAGTTCACATACTTGGAAACTTGCTATTCAACATATTTTTTGGTAAATGAAGACATATTTGTTCATTCTATTACCTCCATATTATTTCAAAGTTAAAGTGAAGATATTAAATTGTCAACTGAGCCATTTTACTCAAGCCAACTCTTACTACCCATGCCATCTTCTGAAATAGCCCGCTAGCACTTGCTGATATTCGTGTATTCTTCTTTCAGTGAGTAAGCAAAACTGCATTTTGAAACATGAACTATTTTTTTTTGTACCTGGTACACTTCCAGTTTGTTGTTTGCTGAACCTCCTAAGTAAAAACTGTAACAAGGATGTATATGGCAACAAAATGACAATCGTTACTGACTCAAA